AAATAAGTAAATAAAATCAAAAAAGAGAAAATAAAAGTTGGTGAAAAGGGAAGGTTCTAAACAGCTTGTGCAAAGTAGCAGAGTAACCTGAGTGTTTTATTCTCTTTCCCCAAAAAAGTGGTCAAGGGAGTGAGTGTGTTGTCATGTCCAATGAATACGATATGCCCAAATACAGTGCTTAGAAGCGTTTTTCTAAAACACTTCCATTGTTAGGAAAGATTATTCTAATTTTGAAATATAGCAAACAAAATATCTTTTTGAGGAAGATTAGCCCTGAGCTAACTACTGCCAATCTTCCTCTTTTTGCTGAGGAAGACTGGCCCTGAGCTAACATCCATGCCCATCTTCCTCTGTTTTATACGTGGGACGCCTACTGCAGCATGGCTTTTTACCAACGTGGCACCAGGGATTGGAACCGGTGAACCAGGGCCGCCAAGAAGCGGAATGTGCGCACTTAACCGCTGCACCACCAGCCGGCCCCGCACCAACTTTTATTTTTAGTATTGCTGTCTTACTGACACTGAAGAGTTTTGAAATAATTATTTAGAATATGAAAATGCATGTCAGGTTACACATATAATATTTTTCAAGGTCCTTGCAAAGGGGACCATTTCTTAGAGAAGACTCACGTCTCCCTCGTGGAGGGATCGCCTTCAGGTCCATGTAACGGCATTTTTTTCTCTGACTCCTTACAGCCTCCAGAGGACACCAGCTTGCCAGCAGCTCTGAGGCAGAGAACAGAAGCCCCATGTCTCCGACTCAGACTGTGTCTAGGTCACTCCCATTGGTCACAGATGGAGAAGGCACTGCACGCTGGTTCTCGACCGACAGCAAGACATTCACAGATGTGACAGGAAGCTCTACTTTCTATCCTGATGTTGTGAACGCTTCGGATTTGACTCAGTTCTCAGCCTCTGCCCCACAGTCTAGAGGAAGCGACACAGCACTGGGTGATAGGGGCTACTCTGAGCCGGCCACCGAGACTTTGTCTTCACCTGCCTCAAAGAACCAGAATTCCTCCTCACCACGTGGTGAACGCTCCAGTGAGTGTCCCCTTCCCAGAATGTGCCACACGGATGGGAGAGGGGCTTCCTCAGCTTGGGATCTTCCTGAGGCTTAATGAAACATCTCCAGAGGACCCTCTAGTTTCATTATTTCCAGCCCATTCTTCTAGCTGGTTGATACAGATACACCTGTATATTCCCCGTTTTTTCTGATACATCTCCAAGATGCTGCTGTTGCCACCTGCCCTTCCCACACACAGCTCAGGGACTTCTCTGTCCACCTCCTTCCATTCCCTATCACCCACCCCACACCCCCAAACCTGCCTCAATCACACAGCTTCTGGAAGGTGAAAATACCACCTTCTTATGAATGGTTGTTCACCCCAGGTCTGGGCATTCATCAAGAGAAGATTCTCCCTCCCCCTTGTTTCAAACAACTTTGCTGAGATATAACTCACATTCTATACAATTTGCCCATTTAAAGTGTACGATGCGTTGCAGTGGGTTTTAGTATGTCCACAAAGTGATGTGCTACCATCGCTGCTATCTAATTCTAGAACATTCTCATCACCCCAAAAAGCAACCCTGGCTCATCAGCAGTCACTCCCCAGTCTCTCCTCCTTCCAGCCACTGGCAACAACTAATTTACTTTTTCTCTCTATAGATTTGCCTATTCTAGACATCCCATATAAATGGAATCGTACCATATACTTTTGTGCTTTTCACTTACCATAATGTTTTCAGGTTGCACCCATGTTATGGCGTGTAGCAGTATTTCATTCCTTTTTATGGCTGAATAAGATTCCATTGTATGGGTAGACCACATTTTGTTTATCTTCTTTGGAAATGTCTATGTAGATCTTTTGACCATCTTTTAGATTGGGTTATTTGTCTTTTCTTTTTTAGCTGTAAGAGTTGTTTGTATATTATGGATACTAGTCTTTTATCAGATATATGATTTGCAGACAACATTTTCTCCGTTCTGTGGGTTGTCTTTTTACTTTCTTGATGGTATTATTTTCCGTACAGAAGTTTTTAATTTTGGCGAAGTCAAATTTATCAACTTTGGAAATCTTTTCTTTTGATATTCCTTTTAATAATGTTTTGGGTTAATTTTTAAAAGCAATTCTCAGGAGGCTTGTCAATGTAAAGTGTGTGTTGACTAAAGCAAAAATGCATTCACTTATCATTTAAACTTATAATAGGTGTAAATTCTTACCCCTCCACCACTAGTAATAGCAGCTGCATTTCCCCCATATGAGCATCCTAATTGATGAGGAAAAGTAGCATTTATTGCTACTCATGTGGTATGGAAAAGCATGTGCTTATCATGAAACAATACCACATGTATGGGTGGAGGATATTTATGCTCTTATATAGCTCTGCATGGAAAACACATTATCTGTCTCCTATACAAAGGAATCATGTTCCCCCCTCACCATTGTGGGGCTCAGAATTTTTACCCTCTCAGACCAGATGTTTAGGTTCTATAGCCTTTTGCCTCTCCATCTCTCAGTACCCTTCACTCTGCATTAATGCTCAGTTGGTTCATGTGGAAAATGTGATCTCAGGGTGAGCAGATCTTGGGGTTCAGTTATAAAGAGCTGGATAAGGAGTAGCCTCATTCCTGAAACCACCTCACTCTGGGTTGATCTGATGCTTTCTCTGGTTCCCGCTGAATCACCCCAAGCTGACTTATCCTGCCCTTCAGCCTTTCAGTTCTCAGGCTGTTCCCTTTTTTGAGGTCCTAGGCAGCCGCTCTGTTTCAGGTCATGACCCTCCACTTTGTTAAGTCTGTAAGCTTGACATGTCATTTAACACAGCCTTTACCACCTTCCCATCCCAGGCAAGTGCCTCTTTGCCCAGGGAACTTGTGCTCAGATGCATCCAACTCTCACCTCTCTCCTGGTGTACCTTCCGTGGGTCTCTGAAGCCCTTCAGCCTGGGTCATGTCACGTCTCTGTCTGGGTCTTGGCTTTCTCAGTGCTGCTCCAGGTCACTGTGTATCCTTGTCCCCATGCTCATCCCTGTCTGTCAGTTAATGCAAACCTATCATGAAGTGAACTTACCCAACACTCAGCTGAACATCAGTTTTCCATCAGGGTGTGTCCATGGGGTGTCAAGAGCTAGCCTGGTCTGGGAATAGGAATAAGAACCGGGAGCAGAGCCTGTTTTCTCATAGAGCCAGATTATAAAGTATTTAGGCTAAGAAGAATTGAACCTCATTTCCATCATTTCTGAAAAGACAGGTTTATTTGATAATCTGGTATAGTAACCTAAGATACTTTAAGCTTATAGTGTAAAGCATATGCCAAAGAAAGGGGGAAAAGGATATTTGTTCATGAGTTACCTGTCCTTATTCCATCCTCAAGAAAATAAAACAAATGGATTAAAAAAAACAAAAAACCAGTCCACCTTTAATCTCTGATCCCAGTACCATTTCTCAATGATGTGTTAAGACCAGGAACTAACATTCCATGATAATGACAGGCCTGGTGTCAATTCCTGTATGGCTGGTCCTACCAGGAGTAACAGCCTCTGGAGTGGTGTGGTCCTCCCTCCTGGGCCTTGTCAGAGGATCTGAAGCCCCAAGTGGGTTGTTAATTTTTGCCCACCGTTCACACCCATTCCCCACCCCCCAGTTTCCCTGACAGAGACTCTCTTTATTATGTGTCGCCAAGCAGAAGTACAGTATTGATCCTGTCCACTGAAGTAATAAGCTGTCCCGTAAATCCAAGTCACCTGAACAGATATGCTGGCCCGCAGAGCCTCTTGAGGGTTCGGTCACTGACCGTTAAGTTGTTGTTTGCAAGAACAACACACGTTGCAAGTTCCAGATAAACACCCTGAGAAAGCTCAGGGGAGCATTTTGGCTAACGAAGTCCAGGACGTGAGGCTTATCCCTGAGACTCATACACAGTACCGTTGCTCTGCCCTGCATTGACTGGCCATCTCCTTTTCTATCTTCTTGTAGCCACTGAAGACGGTCCTGAGCTGAGAGTCATTTCCGAGGCACAGGAGGGGACTTCCGAGGGGGCGACTGGAGCCCGTGCTCCCAGCCCGCACACTTCAGCCACTTTCACTGGAAGCGGAGAGCGCACGCTGAGGTCTCTGACCAACGGGAGCACCACTCCTGGGGACGTGGGGCACTCTGTGGCGGCGCCCAGAGAAACAGAGAGTGCCACCCAGCAGGGGAATGTGACCATGACTGATGACGCCCACCTGGTCTCGGGTTCACCAGCGGCCTCGCCTGCCCTTGGAGGTGACGAGCAGAATCTCTTCCCACGTTCCTTCAGCTCATCTGTCAGTTTGCTCACAGCCCTAGAATGATTAAGTTCACTCTCAACCCAGAAAGTACCTTACAAGCTCTTCACGAAGAGAACTTTCTGGGTTCTCCCGCATCCCCCCACCCACCCCGTCACCATTTGCCTCAGGCATTTGCTGTGTTGTCTGCCAGGATGCTTGAAATAAAGGAGACCAGCCACACTGTGCTAAGGCCAGTCTCCTGGGAAAGAAATATCTCG